ACGTATAATTTTTAAAAAAACAAGCATATGATTTTTAAATTTCATTAAACATTCAAGTTTTTTAAAATCAGGTTTGTTTTTGTTAAAATTGTTTAAAATAGTTTAAAAAAAATTAAATCGACTGTCAGTCAGGTCAACATGAGAAACTTTAAAATATTGGCTTCTGCAGTTAATTCAGTCATCTTCACCATCATTTTCCTGTTTGTTCATAATCGGGAAAAGAAAAACAAGCTTTCCTGCTTTTTCAGGTCCCAATTGATTTCTCAATTTGGAATGAATTAGTCCAAAGGAAGAAAATCTTCTTTCTACACGGGCAGAAGAAGCTACTGCTGTTAAAAGTGAGATTATCACTTCAACAGTCTCTGAATCCAAGTGCTTAATTGACTTCAACCAGTTCACTGGTGTGACTTTCTTTAAAACATCATCAGCAGACATATTTCTAGAATGGTTCTTATTCCCAAACTAGATCTCTTTTACGGCCTGCTGCCATTATAGGTTTTCCTTTCTAGTGAGAGAATGACATGGTAGATCTCAAATCAATGAAGGCTACACTCAGAAAGACCTCAAGACTTCTGGAATATGCTGCTCAAACAGTTTCACTTTTGTTTCTACTGCCTGTCCCTCCCTTCTCACGTTTATTTCCAGACTTCTTCTCCTTGTCCAGATCTATTCCGCCCCCAACAATCCACCCTGGATTCAGGGTCTGGAAAACAAACCTTCAAATAAGATGCTAAAAAAGCTCTATCGATGTAGTTTATTCAAGAGAAGTTTAAGGAGGTGATGTAATCACAGTCTACAAGTACCTGTGTGCGAAAGAGATTTGATGTTTTTTTTTATTTAGCAGAAAAAGACAGGAGATCCAGTGGATTGGAAGCTGAATCTAAACAAATTCAGATTAGAAATAAGGCCCTCATTTCACAGTGAGGGTAACTAACCAATGGAACAGTTTGCCTAGCAGTGATGTGGATTCCCCATCTCTTGAAATCAAGACTAGATATTCAAAAAGACCTACTATAGCTCAAACAGAAGTTATAGGCTTGATACAGAAATTACTGGGTGAGGTTCTTTGTCCTGTGTTATGCAGGAGATCAGATTAGATTATTGGAGTGGTCTTGTCTAGCATTATGTATCAAAGGAAACAGGAAAGAATCATTAACTTTAAGTTGCATTAGATGTGCAAAGAAATATCTGCCAAGGTATTAGAGAAAAAACAGTAAATCAGAGCCTCCCCCCACAAAAAAGTGTAGATTTTGTGATGAAATAGATTTGTCACCCTTATTTATTTTTGCATTAAATTTTTTAATTCCTTTTTCATTCTGTCTTGTAGCTCTGTTCACCACATTCTCACTAAATTCGTCTAAAGACATTCTTCCCTTTTTGAGGTTTCTTCTGGTTTTGTAATGGGCCCTCAGAATAGCCTGCCTATAATCACATGAGAGTATCTTTTTTCGCGTGGTTGCCAACAGAATTGCAAAATATGATTGTTTACCACAACAGATGTGCAAGGTTTGAAATGCATGGTCAGACACCAGGTTAACATGTGATGGCATGTTATTTCTGCCCTGAAGTCTGCCTCCTCCAGTGGTACCTTATGCCCACTCAAGAAAGATGTTGATGGTCATGAATAGTTGCTCTGTCGTGCAGCTCAAAGACTTTGAACTTGAGATAACATAGCAAGCCTCACTTTTAGATGTCCGCTTCTGTGTATGAACTCTTCAAGCCAGATTGTCAGCCCTGATCAAATTCCATTTGTTCATTCCAGCTTGTGGCTGGAATTAATGGGGTGTATTTCCTTTACAGCACTACTGTGCCTTGTGTAGCCTAGCAACAGGGAATCAAATGCTTCAAACAAAGCAGACGCACACAATAAAATAAGACCATCTCTTCAGTTGGAGCTTGACTGTCAATCTGCTCATCAAAACCAGGCATCTTTTTTCCTAAAGGCCAAAAACTTTCAGTGTTAATTGTGATATGATATGTACTTTAACAATTGTCTTGTGGTGATCTTCTTGGCAGCTCCTTGTTCAGCTATGGCTTATCATCATGACAGCAGAAGAATATTTGTAGGCCAGGATAATGGTGCCATTATGGTAAGTTGTTGCTGCTGCAGTTTCTTTTAAGAACACAAATTAATTGTGAAGCTTCTTTGGTAGTGGCTGGATAGTTGCAGACTTGAGTGAATTGTCCATGAGCAGTATATATAGCCAGTCTATATCTAGCCCTTTATTTTATACTTAAATCAAACTATAGAATAACTGAAAACTGTTTAAAGCAACAGAGGGTCCTGTGGCACCTTTAAGCTAACAGAAGTATCGGAGCATAAGCTTTCGTGGGTGAATGCCCACTTCATCTTCATCACTCCACTTGCATCTAATGAAGTGGGCATTCACCCACGAAAGCTTATTCTCCAATACTTCTGTTAGCTTAAAGGTGCCATGGGACTCTTTGTCACTTTTTACAGATTCAGACTAACACGGCTACCCCTCTGATACTTGAAAACTGTTCGTATTTTAGGGGAAGTAACATCCGTTTCCTTGCTGTGGGGCTTCATGTCCTTGTGTGTATGATTCTAGTCCATAGTTCTTGCACACCTTGCTCTATGGCATTAGTGTCCAGCCCTTTCTCTGTCCCTTGTGTGGGATCACCCAACCATGCATCCCTCACCTCATTCCTTGGTGCAAAGGCTACATCCTTCCTGCTTTGTCCTTGTCTCTCCTGTTTTCTTGTCATGTTTTTACACTCTTGGTTTCCCCCCTTTGTTGCCACATATACTTTCTCCCACAAAAAATGTTGCAGAGAGCAATCCTCTGTTGCAAATAGAAAAGGGTGGAGGGAACACACAACTAACCTCAGAGAAGGGACGAGAACTTGTGACCTAACAAAAGCTTCACTTCCATAAGAAACCATTAAAAATACAAGGTGATGCAGGGTAGGGTAACGGTTAATACCTGATGAAATTCCCCTTTTTTTCCTTCCAACACATTGTCTTTGGTCAACTTGATTCTGAATGCAAATCCTCTGCTGAAAAGATGCGTGATCCATCTCCATGCAGCTGATACTAATAAATCTGCACTTAAATCTGTGGTCAGGTGGTATTGAGTGTAGTATCCGCCATCCTGTGGCTTCTAAGTGCTGGTCGCCACTAGAAAATTAGATTGACCCAGCTATGTTGTTCAGGGGTGTGAAAAATCCACACCCCTGAGTGACCTGGTTTAGCCAACCTAAGTCCCTGTGTGTACAGCACTAGGTCGATGGAAGAATTCTTCCACTGACATAGCTACTGTCTCTTGGGGAAGTGAATTAACTACAGCGATGGGACTGTCTTCGCTGTAGTGAGTGTCTATACTGAAGTGCTTCAGTGGTGCAGCTGTAATGTTTCAAGTGTAGACAAGCCCTGAGAACAAACCATCTTTTTTGTAGCATGACAGGTTGTTATTGGCTGCCAGCTTAAGTCTGTTTATATGAGGTTATTGCTGTGTTCTTGATGCCAAAGATTTTCCTCAGACAGTCTGATTCCCATTTCAGCCTGAGAGGATGTGCCATTTTACTTTGTCTAACTATGTGTTTCCTTGGTATTAGGAATTCCATATCTCAGAAGACTTTAATAAGATGAACTTTGTCAAGACGTACCCAGGTAATACAGCATGGGGTCTTTGCTAATATGTTTACTTCACAGATGAGATTTTTAAAACATTCGATACATCTTCATAATTAAGCCTAGGCCAAATACGGACATTGACTCTAACTTTAATAGTATGAAAGATATTGGTAAATTACTGGTAATTACCTTTTAATCAAAATAGGATCAATTTGTGTAGCCCAAGTATAGGATTTTAGAATGTTTAAAATCGAAAATTAATTTTTGGCCATAGTCTTACTACAAAGCTGCTGGCTTCATTGTGATGTAGTTGGCTATGGAGAACATTCCTTCTGAAAAGCTTTAAATTCAGAGCCGAAGAAAACAAAACCCTCTAACAGTCTGACCCAATTTTTTTTTTTTTTTTAAGTTAAGTTTGTGGGTAGGAGGTGGCTGCTGCAACATTTGCAGCGTGAAGGTCATCACAGTTGGGAGCTAGCAATCCCCAAAGGATTGAGAGTAGGAGCTGTATTAAAACCTCACATAACTGTAAGCTAGTGTGCTGAATGTCTCTAACTCTGGTTATATTGTTCAGCACTGAACAGTGGTAATACATTTGTGGATGCTTTAATCTGCAGATGACTTTGGTTTCTAAAGGGGAGGAAACTGATACAGTACTGGTGTCTAATATAAAGGGGAGGGGGAGAGGGAAGAGGAAGTCTGCTCTTTAAATACAGTTTGGTGGTATTGTCCTAATAGAGGATAGTACGTACTTAGGTGCAATAATTAGGCCAAAATGCCTGTTACTAAACACTGAGGCTCTTGGGTCTTGGTTAAAGTAGTAAGAATTGAGTAATGCAGCAAGAATGAAATCGTACAAGATCCCCATTCATCAGGTATCTCTGGCAGTAGAGGGGACTACTCTATTAAAACTAACGTTGATGGAAGATACAAGGTTCTTTCCAAGCATTATTTAGTATTCCTTCTAAAGAATGTACAGCCAAATTCAGTCACTACTATTCCACAGTTATTAATTAATAACTTGATGATGTACAGAAGACTTTGTTCTGAAGGCCAAAAATGTAGGAAAACAAAATACAGCTTGTTTTATGACTTCCTATCGTACTCTAATGGAAAAGGGTGTTCTTGTTTAAAAGAGAGACCTTGTTTTTAAAAGCTACAAAAGCCCCTTTATCCTAAAAGCAGATGACTTTACATTTCAGTCCAAAAGAAGTATCTCTAATACACCCTCCCCCTATATTCTTTCTTTCACTTCTGTCATCTACATCTTCTTACTTAATTAAATGGTCTCAGCACTGTACAGAGTGCTCTCACTGGAGTTCAGTTGTCAACATGCCCTCAAAGAAGAGGAACCTTCACATTTCTCTGAGGGAAATCACTAAATGAAAGGAAGATTCAAATGAGCTGACTTCTTTTTTTTGTTATGGCTGGTTCATTAAAGGCCAATTACTGAGATGGAAAATGCAAAATAAATTGAGAACTCTGCTAACCTTATCAAACTTTGGGGCTGCAGTAAGTGTGACAGTGAAGGTAAAATTCTTTCTTCCTGCAATTATTACTTTTTTTTCCCTGGTAACACTTCAACCTGTGTTTCTAACTGTACAACAGAAGATTTGATTGAAGTATTTCTATCTGAAGTGCTCAGATCCTTTGCTTTATTTCCACAGCTCATCAAAATCGGGTGTCGGCTGTCATTTTCTGCCTGGGAGCAGAGTGGGTTATCAGTACTGGCCATGACAAGTGTGTCAGCTGGATGTGCACCAGGAGTGGGAATATGCTGGGAAGACATTACTTCACCTCTTGGGCTTCATGTTTACAGTATCCATCAAAAATGATCACATTACTAACAAACCACAAGACAAAATTTTATTACAAAATCCACTGCAGTATAGCTAGCATAGAAAGAATTAAATAACTAATGCTAAACTACACTTGGCAAAATCCAGTTGCATCTTGTGATGCTATATCTTTTTTTATTTTATTTTTCAGTGTATTTTTTCACTTATTTGAATTCTTAGAGTTCACAATCTACAATGGCTCCCCCAGTTAATAGTATGAATTAGTAGGGTTCTGCTGTTTGGACTCTTTAAAATGCTTAGCTTCTAGCTTACAAAATTACAAGAATACATCTTAAAGATACTCTCTACGGTGCCACAAGTACTCCTGTTCTTTTTGCGGATACAGACTAACACGGCTGCTACTCTGAAACCTGAAACGACTGTTCTTCAGTTTCTCCCTGGAATTTGCTTTCCTGCCACAAATTTTCTTCCCAAAAAGGAACTCTGAATGCTAATGTTTTCTCTATTGTGCTCTGATGGTAAACAATTCATATTAAATGTCAGGTTAATTTTAGTGTCTTTCATCCTGGTGGTTTCCAAAGTGCTTGCAAACTTGTCTCATGTACAGATAATATAGTCATCACTGCAGTCACCTCCCACCATGAATGTGGCAACCCTAAACAGCTTAGGCCATGAATGGTTGGTTGGTAGGTAGGTATCCAGTTGAATCTGCAAGGGAATGTAGGGTATATGGAGTGCAGTTTAACAGAGGGAACGTGTCTAAGACTCTGGGGCTTACAGCAGTGATCTTATACAGAGGCCATGTGGTGACTGTGGAGGGGGCCCAAAGGGGGAGGGGTAAAGGCCGGAAGCTGAAGAGATGAAGAGGCAGGGCCCAAGTCAGAAGGGACGAGATGGGGCCAGAGCCTCTCCTCTTCTGGCCACGCTGCCTGGTGCGGCATGCAGTGGCTGCACTCTCCCAGGCAGCCTCCGGCCACGCTGCCTGCGTGGGCTGTCCTAGGTAAGCAACGTGGCCGGAGGCTGCTTGGGAGAGTCCATTAGTGGCTCCACACATGCCAGGGGGACTGAAGCAGAGCTCTCCCTCTCCCCGCCAGGGGAGGGGGAGAGCTTGGAGCCCCTGGGCTGGGGGCAGAGCAGGGGCGAGTCACATGGGGAGGGGGGGGTCATGTCCAGGGCGGGATGGGGATGGGTCACATGCCCCCCTTAGCTGGTGTCCCCTTTGTGTCCCTCCCACTAGTCGCCTCACTCCTCTTAAAAATGGTAGCCCTCCAGCAATATAGTTCCCCAAACCATGTGCTAAGGGATTGGTTCTATACCAAATAGAAAAGAAGCTATTCAGCATGAAGCATGACACTGCTTTGAAGCATGTGTTTTCTTTTGAGGTCTATGCACTGATTTGGCCTACCACACTTAACTTGCAAAACACAATGCAACAAACTGAAAGTAGCTCTGTCTTCCTGCATTTGTTCTTTCTTGGCAATGCTCTGTTTCACACCAGTCTCCAAGTTAGGTATGTTGACATAACAGTACAGTACTGTGCATAATAAGTGCTCATTACAAGATCTGTTCACAAAACAATCCAGTCTTCTCTTCCCCCAACCCCTGAGTTCTCATCCATAAGCATCCGGTGGAAACTCTGGTCATTAACTAATCCTCAGTCATTTCAGTGAATATCTGGAACAAATTGCTCCAAGGAAAGGGTGAAATTTAGAATACTTTGTTTTTAACAGAAAATGTTTCATTTAGCTTTCCATGGCATGGCCTTTATTTTCTTCAAAGGAAATTGCTTCCTGTCGACACATTGTGTGCTTGAATCATTAACAGTAGGGAGCGAATGACCCGCTTGTCAGTATATACGTTTGATATTCAGCACAGTCGTTAAAAGCTTCTTTGATGCATGAGTTAATGATCTTTTTCAAAAGCTTATACAAATATAAAATATTACAGAATGGATGTTTCTTAGTGTAGTGTCTGATAAAACAATATATTATAATTTATATAATGGACACCTAAACTTCAGGATGGAATAATGCTGATAAGTCTGAGACATTGCAGTTGGCCGCCTGTCTATATAGGCTTTTCAGGGGCAGGATTGTTTATTTTCAGACACTCAAATTCTTAATCCCCTCATGCTTGTTAACAAGACACTGGAAGCACAGCTTTCTCCCCATTGTGGTGACAATTTTTTAGTTATACTGCACTTCTTTCTACACAGTAAACCCCTCTTAGTTACCTCTTGTCTTTTGGTGGTGGCCTCAGCAGAGAGCAAACAATAAACCTATCTCAGGGACTGGGGAAGTCCCTTCCAGGAATAGGTGGTGCCAGCTGTTTTCTGGATAGAGCAATACCAGCTGCTCTTCAGGCACCACTTCCTATCTGAATAGGAAAGCTTTTGAAAAGGAACTTTTATGTTTGCCATATAGTATCTTGATCATTCAGCTTACATTACAAAACGGAGGGAGGGAAAGGATTTATCCACTTATGTTGTAAGGTCTCTGGGGCAGGGACAGTCTTATTTTTTGTACAGTGCCACACAAAGGGCCTTTATCACCAGGATTGAAGTATTACTGGAATACAAATAATGCAAACAGGAGGTCAGTAGATATACCTGCCATGGAAGGTAGGGCTAATTAAATTTCCAGGTACTCCAGAGGCACAGTTCTGGCTTCCCTCAGGCCCTTCTGTAGCAACAACACTCTCTCCTATTTTTCCCCTTTCCTTAACTGAAGTAAACGAGTAATTTCTGATCCTGTTTGTCATTAAATCTGAATATAAGGTACCTTATGGAGGCAAGACTCTATTCCATGAGTTCTCCTGCACTTTCAGGTAAGTTAAAAGCAGATTATTGATCTGTCTCTAAGTCTCCAGTCTAGTTCATAAAATATTTTGGCTCCTCTTGAGTTTCAGGAACATCCTTAATTGAAGGTTCAATTATTCTTGCACTTTTTAAACTTCTGGTGAAAGCAAAGCTGAACTTTAAAAAACAAAAAAACAACAACAAAAAAAAACCATACCCTTTGTGTAAACCTTTGTTTCCTTGTTTACAGGTTTGTACTACATCAGCACTCTAGTATTTATGTTTATGGGCTGCTAAAGATCTTTCCGGTATGATTTCTGTTGGTTGTTGCTTTAACCTGTTTGTTTTTTAGTCATCTGGCAGAGTATTTTTGCTGTAAAGAGAAGCAAGTGAGACTGAGCATAGTTGGTGGTATTCCTTGACTTGTGTTCAGATATGACATTGAAACCCAGCATGCCTTCGTTGGGGACTACTCTGGACAGATCACGCTACTGAAACTTGAACAGAACAAATGCACGGTTATCACAACGCTCAAAGGGCATGAAGGTAAACTAACTTCCCCTTCACTTCCCTGGCTAATTCAGTCTCTGGTAATACAACTTTCTATCAGCAAAAGATGGGAAGGTTCTGACCTAAGCTCTCAAATTCATTGCCTGTCACCACTTGCTGAACAAAGTTTTCTCTGTAAAGAGACGTTACCAACAAAACTTGTACATCTTAAATTAGCAGGATATTTAAGTAACTAAGAACTCTACTTGTTTCATAGGGAACTCTGGGCTACGAGCTGCTATGGATCACGTTGCCGTCATCCTAGGCACCAGTTATAGAGCATGAGCTTCAAAGTAATTGCCTTAAATGGTGCATATGTATATGCACCATTACACCTTACAAGATGGCTCACCTTACAAAATGTCAGCCTATATTCATTAACGTGAAGGAATGGCTCCATCTTAGGCCTTGGCTACACTTACCCGCTAGTTCGGCGGCTGGCAGTCGAACTTCTGGGTTCGACTTACCGTGTCTAGTCTGGACGCGATAAGTCGAACCCGGA